CTTGTTCTGGAGATTAGGGTGAGGGGAACTCACAAATATGAATAGGGGGAAATATCTCTAGGCACCATACTACTGGCTATAAAGCAATTAATTACTAGTAGAAATCCTTGTGCACTATGGAGATACTTAAAGATATGGAACTTGGACTAGGGCTTAATGATTAGGGGTAATTTAATTAGGCATAATAAGGGACTACAGACAGACACTGTAGATGAATTTCCTGACTAAGCAAAAATCTGGTGATGGGAAGGAAGATAGCTCAGAGACGTAGTCATTGCTGCGGTGACCCTTCCACACACACACAGTCTTGCACCATCTTCATGATGAAGGCATTTATTCCACTGGCCAAGAGTGTTGATGGCTGACACTCGTAACAACTCAGCTCCTCCTTCTTAGAAATCTCCCTCACAGCTGAGGAGGCCCTGGTCCAAGATGTGGGGAAAGGCCACATCCAAAGGCCGGTGGATTCAGGAGCATAAAACTCATCTCTTCAGAGTTTAGAACATCTCTGAAGAGCTATTTTAGCTCCAGAACTTCCCATAGGATCGACTGAGGCCTTTGGTGTGACTGCATCATAGCCCAACTTCTCCACCTGAGCCATCCTGCTTTCTGCACTCTCCCACAGGTGTTGATTCAAAGGACACAGCCCAATCTCCCACTTGCAAATCAGTTTGCTTCCATGGAGAACCCAACCTGTGGATACTGAGGACATTGACTATAACTGATAGTAGGGAATCTGCATTTATTCCATTAATAGGCATATATGGCTCTGCTCTGTGCCAGCCATCTCTTGTGGATCTCATACTCTGGTGGGGAAAACCTCAACAAAATAGAACTTCAAGCAATATGTGCTAGGATGAAAAAAAAAAAAAAAATCAGGGCATGGGGGTAGGTAGTGTGAGTGTTTAGGAGTGGATGGAACCTCTTCAGATAGCATGGCCATATAAAAGGTCTCTAAAGAGGTGATACGTAAAGCAGAAAGCTGAGCAAACTAATAGAACAATCCATGATAGTATCTGGGGGAAGAATACTGCAGGCAGAAGGAAGAGCATACGCAAAGGGTCTGAGGTCAAAGTGTACCTAACAGGTTTGGAGGAAAGGAAGATTGGGAGTATAATGGTAGGAGATGGAGGGGTGAGACCCCCATCTGTAAGGCCTTTAAGTGTAAGGAATACAGATTATTCTAAGTGAAATGGGAATACATTGAAGGGCTTTGAGTAGGATTGTCTCATGACCAGATTTCCACTTTAAAAGGATCAGTCTGCCTTTTATGTGAGGAAGGGTCTAGAAAGGAGCAAGAGTTGAAACAGAGTGGCTATCAGGAGGCTATTAGAGAAGTCTAGGTCAGGAATTATGTGATGATTTAGACTTAAGGTTACCAATAGTCATGGTTTGCCTGGGATCGAAGTCTCCCAGTATACAGGACTTGCGAGGCTTAAACCAGTAGAGTCTTGAGCAAATGAGGGTGATTGGTCACCCTTCTCGGACTAGAATGATGGCCCTATAAATAGGGAGATACAGTCAAATTCAAAATATATTCTGAAGATTGAGTAGGTAGTGAAGTTGAAGAAAAAGATTTGGATAGTTAGGGCAAAGTATAGAGCTTCTTGAAAGCCAGGAAGATGGGTTTGGACCTTTGAAAGATTAGCTTGGCATTAGTATGTGGTCTACATTGGACTTTGGTGAGACTATGACTTAAAGAAATCTTTGCTCAGACTGTTTCAAAAGAGATGACAGAAGTATTTAGGGCATAGTCTCACAGAGTGGAAATGGAGGTGAAGGGGATAGAGGTAGTGGAAGAGGCCATGGTGTAGGGTGATGGTAGTGATGGCAGCAAATGGTAGAGATGCAGGTCATATTGGAAGTGGAGGTGGTGAGGGTAGAGGTCATGCTGATGATGGTGGTAGAAAAAAGTGAAAGAAAAAATACAGTTGAAGATACATTACCCAATAGAAAGAAATGTCAAGACTTGTAGGCTGAATGACTAGAGGAAAACAAAAGGTAAGGTGGCCACTGGAAACAGATGAGTTAGCGACCCTGACAGGTAAGAGTGTTGAAAAGGCAAACAGTTGAGGGGAGGGTTTGCTGATTAACATCCATTTAGTAAGACAATCTAAAAGTGAAAGGAGAATATCCTAGTGGGCGGTCAGTTAGGACTATTAGTTTCTACCATTCCAGATGACAGTCTGACACAAAAGAAAACTCAGGGGCTTCCCTGGTGGCGCAGTGGTTGAGAGTCCGCCTGCCGATGCAGGGGACATGGGTTCGTGCCCCGGTCTGGGAAGATCCCACATGTTGCGGAGCGGCTGGGCCCGTGAGCCATGGCCGCTGAGCCTGCGCTCCGCAACGGGAGAGGCCACAATAGTGAGAGGGCTGCGCACCCCCAAAAAAAAAAAAAAAAAAAAAAAAAAAAAAAAAAAAGGAAACTCAGGATCAAGTCAAAAGCCTTTGAGCATTAGCTCCATACTGACACATCAGGTAACCTTATGTAAACCAAGTTTAAAAATTTTAAAGCACTGAAAAGCAACTTCAGTTGATTAACATAAAAATACATGCTTAATTTGGCATACCAATTATGATGACTTTATGAGCAAATGAAATCTTACATGTTCAAGTTCCTAAGTTAATGAATTAAATGGAGATCTGTAAAAGGTGCTAAAATAAGTACTTTTCTCTATTTCCCTTTCTCCCAAAATATCCACTTTGAAATTCAGTCACTCATTCTTCCGCCATCCCATAGCTTTAAAATTACAGGTAACTTGACATATTTCTTCTACTTGAGGTATGGTTTTTCAAACTGCAACTGCTTTCTTCTGAAACTAAATATGTAAAATCTTAAAGATTCCCTAGATCCTAAGATTGAAGAATAAAAGTATACTAGAAGTTATGACAACTCTTCGTTTAGAACACCTGAGATGCCTATGAAGTGTGGAATTAGATTATGGGCCAC